TATTTTATTTTATTTTATTTTATTTCTTTCCCAAGGAACCCCTGACTTCTCTTAGAAAGGGTTTCATGTGCTGGGCTGGGCAACAGTTATAGGGACAAAGACCACTGCTGGCAGTGGAGGTGTCACACCTCCAGACTCTGATTTTCCTCCCGATGGAGTTCTCCAAAGAAGTCACCCTGGATGAATAGCAAGAGGAGAATGATTCTCCAAACTGAAATGCAACAAAATTCAGCCTTTGAAACAATAAAATATTTTTATTATGTGCTTTGTGAAATCTTCTTCCTTAATTACATCTTACAAGCTCTGCAAGTAGCTGCACAAGGCGTGAAGGCTTGAAGATTAAAATGGAAGAGATGTTAGGAATTTCTTCATTTTAATGAGTTCCATGGCGTATTTTGATGCTCAGTCTATGAAGTTCAGGTACTGAGAAGAGAGTGATGCAACCACTTGAGCAAGTAAAGTCAGGAGTAAAAGTTGAAGTGACTTGGAGTATTAATGGGCCCCACTGAGGGCTGTTACTAACAAAGGCTCCCCAGGGCCTTGTTAGGGCAGATAATTGGAGTCCATGGTTACAGACAGGCAAAGCACTGTGCTGAGAAAAGTCTTGGTTGGTTTTAGTGAAGCAGAATTGGCAAGGCCTGACCCCTGGAACTGGGAGGGGAGATCCTGCACCCCCATGTCTGCCTCAAGGCTTTTCCTGGGGATCTGTGGGATGGGGTGGGCAGTGTGATGCTGTGAGAAGAAGAGTGGTATGAAACCTCTGAGCTGTTGCATGTGTTGAAAGGAATCTATGAGGCCCCATCACAATGAATATAACATATTTCCTCATAAGCTGTAACAAAAGGGACAAAACCTTCACGGCAGTTGGGGCATTCCCTTTTTATCAGCACCCTCTGCCTTCTCCTCCACAGGCTTTCCTATGCTGTCCCACACATTGCCCTATTTTCTTGAAGTCTGCAGACACCCATCTCAGTTCACCATCTTGTTCTCATCCCTAGCTTTCACTGACCTCTTGTCAACCCTCACCAGCTATTTATTGAAACACAAAGCAAGGGTCTGATCAGAGGGTGACCTTTTGCACCACAGCATGACCCTCTGAGGGACATTTCTCCCTCCTTGTAACCAGTGCCAGCCTTCCATGGAACACTATGTAGCAGTTTTTTCTTTCCTGCTCTTTTCTACTGCCAAAGGAAGCTCCATCAGGGTAGAAACCACTCCTGAAGTAGGCATCCCAACCCAGCAGGCTCCTTGCGGCCTCTCAGCCAACCAGACACAAGTCGCCTCAGCAGAACCTTCCAAGTCACGGGCCTGCTGCTGGCCTTGCAGCTTCTTGTGGAGACACAGCCAAGCCTTGTGCCTGCTGCTGCCCACTCATGGACTCAAGCAGAAGGGACAGGACAACCCATCTGGGGGCCTTCTTTCTGCCTGGGTCCTCCTGGCTCTGGAGGCAGAGGGGATCCCCCAGTCAGCATGCCAAGCAGGTGCCTTCTGCTGGCCTAGCAGGGCCACTGCCAGATGTCAGCCCAAAAGTGCAGCTCCCAGGGAGAAGTCAAGGCTGACCTGCCACCTACAAACAGAAGTGACCTCCCAGTCCCTTTCCATGACACGTTCCTGCTGCTGCCCTATCAACTGCAGAGGCAGAAGTGACCTCACAGTCCCTGCCACAGTCACATTGCTCCTGCTGGGGCAGGAGATCCTGAGGCAGAGCTGAGCTCCTCACAGCATTCCCACCCTTCTCCTCCTTGTGGCCCACAAGCTGACCAGATCCATGGCCCCTAGAATTCATTTGGTGTTAGGGTTTTGTTTAGGTCTCTTAAGCAGTTTTCTAGTGTTATGTGGACCGTTTTAATGCTAGTATTAAGGGCAGAGATCAGAGTGATTAAGAGAAAAAGAGCTAGGGGAAGCGGCTATGGGCTGAGTTTTGTCTTCAAGTGATACGTTGAGGTCAGTCATTAGAGTAGTGGATTCCTGTCAGGGTGATGAGTAGCATTTAGTTTTAGGAAGCAAGTTTACAGGTTGAAGCTGGGGAATAGCCTTGTATGATTATTTTAAGTCACAGTTACAGCTGTATCAGCATAACCTGAACCCTCTTACCTCTACAAAATCCTTAATTTCGGCTGGCCAAACCCCTATTCCCTACTCTCAGTCTCACATTTCTCCTGGCCAGGCTTCTCCTGATTTCCCCATATCAGTTATCATTTTAGGGACATGGTTATGATGCCTTGCATGATCTTAGACTATCTGTCAGTGCTCTGTTGGCTACTCTATTCCTGAGAAAAGTGGCACTTAAGACACGATGGAATGGGACAAAAATGTCCATCAGAGCACCCTGCACAATGTGCCCAGCAGCTCTACAGTGCCACAAAATGTGGTTCCTGCCAAAAAGTTTTCTTTCCAGAATGGCTCCTATGGCTCCAGGGTAACTTTTCCCAGGCACTCACTTCCCCAGGCCACACCACTCTTGCCCGCAGGCCCCACGTGTCTCTCCAACCCTCCCCTCTCCCCCTACAGTAGTGGTACCTCACTGCAGCAGGTTGGTGCATCTCCAGGCTCAGGGGTGTTCCTGAGGGCCTGCCCCATGTGGGGAGTGGTGGGGAGGAAGAGAGCAAGGTCGTCTCCTGGGGCATGGCTGAGCACAGCCCAGCCATCCCGCACCATGGGCAGGCCTGTGTTCCCAGGTTGAGGCGCACATGCAAGGTGGACACTTCTCCATCAGCCCAGCTTCACGCAGGGACCTTCAGACCTGCCCCAGTCCCAGGAGTGACCTCGTCCTCCTACTCCATCCACAGACAGCTGCTAAAGCCCTGAGTGTCTCTGTTTCTCACAGCTTTCACCCAAGTCTTTCTCCTGGCCCTCTCCACTGCCCAGCACTGCCTCTCAGGTGTTACTCAATGACCCTTCAGAAGGGCCTTTGGACTTCCTCAGTTGTCCTGGTGCTTATTAGCACCTTCCTGGCTCCTTCCAGAGTTCAAAGGGAGTCTTCTTGTCCATCAGGAGCCTGTACTGGTTGTGGCTGGGACGGAGTTACTCTCTGCAAAGGAGCCCCTTGTGGTCCTGTGTTTTGGTTGTGTGACCAGTGATGGTCACCCACAGATGTGGTTGCTGTTTTCGAGCATTTCTTGCACAGCATCAGGGCCTTCTGTGGCTCACAATTTCTGAGTTTTACTTGGTTTTGCTATTCTGTCCCCAGTTCGTCTAGAAGAAGAAGAGAAAGCAGGTGGCTGATAGGTGTTTATCTGCTGGATGCATGCAGCAAGGAGGTGTCCGTGGAGCCAGGAGATGGAGGTCCGTGAAGCTGCAGGAGCCCTGCTCTCTTGCCTGGCAGATCCCCAGCACACAGTGCCTGTGCCCCGCAGGGCCAGCCCCGCTCCCCAGGCCAGCACAAGAGGCCTGGCCCAGCCACAGAGCAGCCTGCCCCGAGCAGGGGCCTGCACAAAGAGCTTTCCCTTTGCCCTTTCCCCATCAGTGCAGGCCCAGCAATGCGGTTCTGCTCTTCCCCAGGGCCATCCCTGCTCCCAGAGGGTCTTATCCAGGGCAGTGTGTCTGTGCTGGCCTGGCTGGCCATTGCTGCTTCCCTCCCTGTGCTCCCTCAGGGCCCCAAGATGGTGGTGCTGCTGTGAGACCTACATCCGTGGGGATCTCTGCTGCTGAGCCCCTTTCCACGTGCCCTGATGGCTCAGCAGCACAGGGCAGTGCTGGGCAGGGCCATGGGGTGTCTCTAAGGGCACAAAGGGCAGGCGAGTGCTGCACCAGACCTCGCCCATAGCACTTCAAAATGCCTATCCTCAGTTACTCTGCAGTCTTATGGGCCTTTGCCTGCTGGCTCTTCACCACCTCTGCTGGCATTGCAGAGCCCTCCTTTAGCCCATGGACTCCTCAGATTCCCCTTTTCCTTTAACAGACCTTTGTTTGGATGGTCACTCATTTTATGAGGTTCTAATCACTTCATCTGAGGACCTTGTCCCTGCAGATCCCCTGACATCTCCTGAAAGCTCCAGATTCCTCAACAGGCTGGAATCTGCTGCCTGCCCCGCTGCAGGGGGTGCAGATAAGTTTAAGATCAGTTGTCATCTCCTTAGGCAAGTTCTGCCATAATGGCAGCTCTTAGTGCTACCCTTGGTTCCTCAGGGACCACCCTGGGACTTTCATCCTGTGTCTTTCACTCCATGAAGAACCCCCAGAATACAGAAGAGCAGGGAACAGCCCCTTGGTGTTCAGGCTCCTGGGTTTGCCTTCAGCAGCCCCTCTTGTTACTGTGGCGCTAGCAGGGAGGCGGCTGTGACCCAGGGCTGTACAGTGCCTTCTGCTATCTGCAGGGATCGGGATGCCTTTACAGAGAAAACAGGACTGTCATCGAGGCATATGAGAGCTCAAGACTAACACAGATACAAGAGCACAAGAGAACAATGTGGAAGCCAAAAGAGAGCAGCAGTGAAAAGGCCACGTCCTGCTGCTGGCCATGGCAATGACTCCAGGGAAGCAGCAGCCCTGACCCAAAGGCAGCAGAGAGGCAGAGCGCAGCGGACAGTGAGGGGCAGCCCCGAGGGCCACCAGGGCTGCTCGTGCATGTGGCAGCTGGGCTCTAGGCCCTGAGCCCTTCCTGCATGGTAGGGCTGCTCCCTCAGCTCCAGAGGAGATGGGAAGAGATGGTAGGTGATGGTAGGTGTTTTTTGTTGTTGTTGGTGGTGGTGGTTTTGTTTTTGTTTTTGTGTGTCTTTATCTACATGGTAAGCCTGCTTCTTTAGGTAATTAGAAGATTGGGTATTTTAAATGAAAAAAAATCTGGTAGTAGGTTAAGGATGATATTATTTAAATAAAAACAAATAATTTGAAGAAAATATTTATAGAGAAATGTAATAATTATTTTTTCTTCTCACTTCCTGAAATTATCAGGGAACTCGCAGTCATTATTGATTCCGAAAAAGCAGGTTTCTGAAGAGTTTCCTTACTGTATCCTTGAGCTCCTGGTTCCTCATACTGTAGATGAGGGGGTTCACTGCTGGAGGTACTACTGAGTACAGAACTGCCACAACAAGATCCATGGATAGGAAGGAGATGGAGGGGGGCTTCAGATAGGCAAACATACCGGTGCTGATAAACAGAGAGACCACAGCCAGGTGAGGGAGGCACGTGGAAAAGGCTTTGTGCCGGCCCTGCTCAGAGGGCATGCTCAGCACTGCCCTGAAAATCTGAATATAGGACACCACAATGAAAAAAAAACAACCAAATAGTAAAGAAACACTAAACACTAGCACCCCGACTTCCCTGAGGTAGGCATCTGAGCAGGAGAGCTTGAGGATCTGGGGGATTTCACAGAAGAACTGGTCCACAGCATTGCCATGGCAGAGGGGCAGGGAAAATGTGTTGGCCGTGTGCAGGGCAGCATTGAGAAAGCCACTGCCCCAGGCAGCTGCTGCCATCTGGGCACAAGCTCTGCTGCCCAGGAGGCTCCCGTAGTGCAGGGGCTTGCAGATGGCAACGTAGCGGTCGTAGGCCATGACGGTGTGTGGTGGTTTTACTCAGGTGGGCAGCCAAGCTCCACCACAACCGCTCTCTCACTCCCCCTCTCCTCAGAAGGAGGGGGAGAAAATACAACACAGAGAACTCGAGGTTTGAGATGAGAAAGGTTTAATTAAAGGGAAAGGGAATGGGCAGGAGAAACAGATGCAAAAGAAACAATCAGTCCGCGCGGAAGCACAGAGAGAGAGAAAAATTATTCTCTACTTCCCATCAGCGAGCGGTGTTCGGCCACGTCCTGGGAAGCAGGGCCTCAAACGCGTAGTGGTTGTTCAGGAGGAACAGCCCCCTCCCCCACGAGAGCCCCCCCTTTTATTGCTGAGTGTGACATCAGGTGTTATGGAATATCCCTTTGGTTGGTTTAGGTCAGCTGCCCCGGCAATATCCCCTCCCCATCACTTGCCCACCCCCAGCCTGCTGGCTCTTGGGGGCTTAGGAGTCCTGATGCTGTGCCAGCACTACGCAGCAATAGACACAACACTGGAGTGATATCAGTGCTGTTCCAGCTACGAGTGCAGAGCACAGCACTGTGCAGGCTGCTGCAGGGAAAAGGTGACTCCAGCTCAGACAGACCCAACACAACTTCCACCCCTTATTCCATAACATTTGTGTCACAATCAGGTACAGTTTAGTATATAGATGTTCTCATCACCATTGTTTTCTGTCCATTGAAGCATTTTATGTCTGTACTTCTCTTTATTCTATAGTCGCAGTCTCCCTTGGAGGCGTGGGTTTTTCTTTTTCTTTTTCCAAAATGCTCATAAAAACTGTTGATGGTTTCAGCTTCATCTGTCAAAGTGGTCACTCAGGACATGCGAAGTTGGTTTTCTTGACACGAGCACCAGCTTAGCTCACATCACTGTTGCACTTGCCCGGTTCCTTGCAAAGTTGACCTGTCATTGGTTCTGCAGTGTCCTCCTACAACACATAACTTGGATAACAGATTAATTTTCTCCCAGCGTTAAATCTCCTTGTGGCACACACTTGATATCCCCATCTTTCTGCATTACCCACCAGGTATACCCTGGTCCTTGGGCAAAGACAATCCCACGAGTGGGTGTGCCTTTTCCCATGGCAGGGGCAACCCACACTGCCTTCCCCATCCACTTCCCCACATGCACTACAGGGACTTTAGCTTCTCCCACAGTGTGTAGGGGTTTTGTTTTAGCAGGACCAGGACGGCTTTCAGACCCCCTGTTGTTAACTAGCCAAGTGGCCTCTGGTAGATTTATATCCCAATGTTTCCATGTCCCAGCACCCAATGCTCGCAGCATAGTTTTTAACAGTCCATTGTACCTCTCAACCTTCCCAGAGGCTTGTGGGTGATAAGGGATGTGGTACACCCACTTAATACCATGCCTCTTTGCCCAGGAGGTAACAAGATTGTTTCGGAAATGACTCCCATTGTCAGACTCAATTCTCTCTGGTGTACCATGACGCCACAATACTTGTCTTTCCAGGCCCAAGATAGTGTTTCGGGCCGTGGCATGGTTTACAGGGTATGTTTCCAGCTACCCAGTAGTTGCTTCTACCATGGTGAGTATGTACCGTTTGCCTTGGCGGGTTTTTGGAAGTGGTCCAATATAGTCAATTTGCCAGGCCTCACCATATTGAAACCCTAGCCATCTCCCCCTGTTCCAGGGAGATTTTACCTTCATGGCTTTCTTGATTGCAGCACAGGTCTCACACTCATGGGTAACCTGTGTGATGGCTTCAATGGTCAAGTCCAACCCTCGATCACGAGCCCATCTGTAAGTGGCATCCCTCCCCAGATGTCCTGATGTTTCATGGGCCCATCGAGCTACAAACAGCTCACCCTTACGTTCCCAGTCTAGGTCCACCTGAGCCACTTCAATTTTCGAAGCTCGATCCACTTCTTCGTTGTTCCGATGTTCTACAGTAGCGCGACTCTTGGGCATGTGGGCATCTACATGACGTACTTTAACATCCAGGTTTCCTATCCGGGCAGCAATATCTTGCCACAGGGTAGCAGCCCAGATAGGTTTACCTCTGCGCTGCCAGTTGCTCTCTTTCCATTGCTGCAGCCACCCCCACAGAGCATTTGCCACCATCCATGAGTCAGTATAAAGATACAATACTGGCCAATTTTCTCTTTCGGCGATATCATAGAATCATAGAATCATAGAATATCCTGAGTTGGAAGGGACCCTTAAGGATCATCAAGTCCAACTCTTGACACCGCACAGGTCTACCCAAAAGTTCAGACCATGTGACTAAGCGCACAGTCCAATCTCTTCTTAAATTCAGTCAGGCTCGGTGCAGTGACCACTTCCCTGGGGAGCCTGTTCCAGTGTGCAACCACCCTCTCTGTGAAGAACTTCCTCCTGATGTCAAGCCTAAACTTCCCCTGCCTCAGCTTAACCCCGTTCCTGCGGGTCCTGTCGCTGATGTTAATGGAGAAAAGGTCTCCTGCCTCTCGACACCCCCTTACGAGGAAGTTGTAGACTGCGATGAGGTCTCCCCTCAGCCTCCTCTTCTCCAGGCTGAACAGGCCCAGTGCCCTCAGCCGTTCCTCGTACGTCTTCCCCTCCAGGCCTTTCACCATCTTCGTAGCCCTCCTCTGGACACTCTCCAACAGTTTCATGTCCTTTTTATACTGTGGTGCCCAGAACTGCACACAGTACTCGAGGTGAGGCCGCACCAGCGCAGAGTAGAGCGGGACAATCACCTCCCTCGACCTACTAGCGATGCCGTGCTTGATGCACCCCAGGACACGGTTGGCCCTCCTGGCTGCCAGGGCACACTGCTGGCTCATATTCAACTTGCTGTCTACCACGACCCCCAGATCCCTCTCTTCTAGGCTGCTCTCCAGCGTCTCATCGCCCAGTCTGTACGCGCAGCCAGGGTTTCCCCGTCCCAGGTGCAGGACCCGGCACTTGCTCTTATTGAACTTCATGCGGTTAGCGATCGCCCAGCTCTCCAACCTATCCAGATCCCTCTGCAAGGCCTTTCCACCCTCATTCGAGTCCACAACTCCTCCAAGTTTGGTGTCATCAGCAAACTTGCTCAAAATACCTTCTATTCCTACATCCAGATCGTTTATAAAAATATTGAAAAGGACCGGCCCTAAAATGGAGCCTTGAGGGACCCCACTAGTGACCGCCCGCCAGCCTGACGCAGCCCCATTTACCATAACCCTTTGGGCCCTGCCCATTAGCCAATTGCTCACCCATCGTACGATGTTTTTATTTAGCTGTATGGTGGACATTTTGTCCAGTAGGATCCTATGGGAAACCATGTCAAAAGCCTTGCTGAAGTCCAAAAAAATCACATCAGCTGGTTTCCCTTGGTCCACCATACAGGTGATCTTATCCTAAAAGGAAATCAGGTTAGTTAGGCAGGACCTACCCTTCACAAACCCATGCTGGCTGGGACCAATGACTGCTCTGTCCCCCAGGTGCGCCTCAATACGTTCGAGAACCATCTTCTCCATGATTTTACCAGGCACTGACGTGAGACTGACAGGCCTGTAATTGCTAGGCTCTTCTTTCTGACTCTTCTTGAAAATCGTTGAAAAATATTTGAGAGAGGTTCCGCGATGACGTCAGCCAGCTCTTTCAGCACCCAGGGATGAATCCCATCCGGACCCATGGACTTGTAGGGATCCAGGTGGAGTAGCAAATCCCGCACACGTTCAGGGTCGGTTGGGAGTTTGTCATCCCCACCGTCCCAGTCCTCCAGCTCAGGGCACCCTGGGTCCCAAAGCCCATCATCGGCATTGAAGACAGAGGCAAAGAAGGCGTTAAGCGTCTCTGCTTTGCCTATGTCATTGTCAGTGAGAAGACCTTCCCTATCAAGGAGCGGCCCTATGTATTCTTTAGTTCTCCTTTTTCCATTCACATATCTAAAAAAAACCTTTTTATTTTCTCTCACAGACACAGCCAGCTTCAACTCTAGGTGTGCTTTAGCCACACGAATTTTCTTCCTACAAACACGAACAGCATCGCTGTATTCTTTCCATGACACCTGGCCCTCCTTCCAGTAGCGAAACACTCTCTGTTTCCGCCTAATCTCCATCAGAATGATCCTGGTCAGCCACGCCGGCCTCCTGCCCCGCCTGCCTGACTTGCGATATTTAGGAATTGCCTGATCTTGTGCTTCTAGGAGGCATCGCTTAAAGAATGACCAGCACTGGTGGACATCAAGGCCTTCAAGAGCAGCTTCCCAGGGGACCTTGCTGACTAGTTCCCTGAGCAGCCTGAAGTCCGCTTTCCCCATATCTAGGGATGAGGTTTTGGTGGCACTTTTCCTTCTGTCACCATAAATTTTGAACTCAACCACTTCATGGTCGCTATGACCGAGGCGGCCACCAATCACCACATCTCCCACCAGACCCTCTCTGTTTTCCAGCAACAGGTCAAGGAGGGCACCTTTCCTAGTTGGCTCCGTTAGCACCTGCACCAAGAAGTTATCATCTAGGTGCTTCAGGAACCTCCTGGACTTGCTCGTGTCAGCCGTGTGGCACTCCCAGTTAACGTCTGGCAAGTTGAAGTCCCCCATAAGGACAAGGGGAGTTAATCTCGAGGCCTCTCTTAGTTCTGTAAAGAATAAGTTATCGGCGCTATCGTCCTGGCCAGGCGGTCTGTAATAGACTCCCACAACGACATCCCCTTTATTCGTTCGTCCCTTGATCCTTACCCAGAGGCTCTTAACTTTGCCATCGCCGACCTGGAGTTCCACACAGTCCAGCCCCTGCTTCACATACATCGCCACCCCACCACCTCGCCTACCCTGCCTGTCCCTCCTGAAGAGCCTGTAACCGTCTATCGCAACACCCCAGTCACAGGACTCATCCCACCAGGTTTCGCTTATGCCGATGATGTCGTAGTTGCGGGACTGGGCCAGGACTTCTAGCTCATCCATTTTATTCCTCATACTGCGTGCGTTCGTGTAGAAGCATTTCAGGTGCGTCTCCTTACACTCA